ATAAAAAAAATAATTCTTATTGTATAATCCAGCCACCCTACGACAATTTCTCCCATGTAAATTTTGAATAGGAAATATTAGCTGTAAATTGGCGCTAATGAAAAGCCAGGCTTCCACCCAAAAAAAAAAAAGGAAAAGCGAGGCGTAATAAACGGCTGTGATTGTAGGACAAGGTGGGCCCTCGTAGGACTTGATTGGGTATGAGACGGATCTAAGCCAGATGGCACTAGAACTTAATCTGAGCCAACTATATGACACTGAGCGACCGAGCATCTAACAGTCGTAACGGGACCCACTTTAATCCCGCAATTACCGGTCCATAACCGCCGTACTTTTAACTGCAAATGGGACCACCACCAACACAGACAGTCTCGAGCTACCCGCGCTTACATGATTTCTACAATTCTACTTCCGCGCCGTATCTTTCTTTATTATTATTATTTTTTGTTCCACTTTCTTTTAAATTTATTTATTATTTCTTTTTTAATTGTTTTTATATTTTTTTAGTTCTTTTTGGTTACCATGCTGCAATATGCATATTTCTCTACAACTACTGTCACTTCAACTTTACCTTATAATTCCGTGGAATATGCATACCTTTTGATTTTTGGTTTAAAGCATGGTTTAGATGTTTGATTTCGGCTAAAAAAAAGATTAGAATGTTAGGCAAAATTCGGTTTCAATACAAAGCAAATTGAACAAAAAGACTGCATTTTTCTAAAAATTTTAGATAAGAAGATTGGATATTGGTGGTTTGTAAAAAGATTGAAGTGGGTTTATCTCGATTAGAAGATGTATGTTTTTGACTCATTGGCTTTCTTCCTATCCTTTTTTCTTCTTTTGATGGTCATCTTCCATCTTTAAGACTAAAAAAATACTATTCTTTGATTTAAGATGGTGAAAAGTCGATGCCATTCATATCAAATTAAACTTTCAATCATATTCACCAAAGTTTATCCTAAATCTTATTCTTAATCAAAGTTGCAGGCTTCCAAGTTCCAACTCATTTTCTTGTTCAAATTCTTCAGCCTTGACTTCTTTTTTGTTTATTTGCCCACCATTCATGATCCAACAACTATAAGTTTGTTATGAAGATATATTTAAAATTAAAAATGTGTCTATTTTCTTGATTAGGAATAACATCACTTTAATTCATTAAAAAAGAAAAAACAACCATCACTTTAATTGTATTAAAAAATATCTTCTACAAAAATAAAACACTTTTTTTTACGTATTTTTTACATGATTAAATCACACGACACGTAAATAATACTCGATGTTAAAACAAATATGTTTAAAATTTAAAATTTTTACTAATAACATTAAATTTATCTACTCCGGTAATCAAATCAAATTAGAAATGTCCCAAAAAATTATTGCAGAGAGTGTCTTAACAGCCATCTCTCTTTTTAATTTGACCCCAAAAAAAAAAAAACGTGTGGTTGCTTAACTTGCTTTTATTACAACTTGGCGATAAAAGAGGAATAAGGTGACGTGCAAAATTGAAATGAAGAAATAAGTGCATAAGCAAGGGACGCGTGAAGCAGCTGGGCCAATGAGATTCAGCCACGTCCGAGGTAATTGTGTTAAGGATTCCCTGGTTGCGGCCACAGGGGGGACCAACTTCATGATTACTTCTGATTTGAGCGTGCATCTTACTCGCTCTGTCCCACAACCTAATCATTTTTATCCCTTCGATTGATTACCATCTCAAAAGTCAAACAACAAGCATAAAAAGGATACAAATGTTTAAATATATATATATATATAACTGTAGAAATTAAAAACAAATTCTTGTTTCCTTAGTCTTGTCTTATGCCCTAATAAAATTTAAGAAGGGATCTGATTTTGGCAGCAGTTGTTTTTACTATAAAACTTATTCAGTTGTCTTTAAGTTGAAACTGATTACTTAATCCTTTAAAAATATCCAATCATCAATTAAGTAGTTTTCCCTCGGAACTTAGTGTTTGTCCTAGTGTATTCCCTTGTGATTTTGTGGATCCTTTTATGCCAGCTGAATGCTCCTGTTGCGTCAAGCTACTTCAATGTTAGCTAAACTTTCATACAAGTCAAAAAAAAAAAAAAAAAAAAACCCTAGATATCAATACTTTATTGTAATTTGAAACACGAAATAAAGTTAAATTAATTAGATTTGGTTTGCTCATGATTATATATATACTAGAGAATTTCTATCTAAGAGGTGATAAATGGCAACGGCCTTCCCTATGTTAGACTCCAATTTGTTAAGAACATTTTAAATTAAGCCTCGTACCTAAACGTTTGAATTTCTTTCTTTCATAAACTGGGTTAAAACTACTAACTAATTAAAAGTTCTCTTGGTATCCTTGGAGGGGAAAATGAAGGTTTTTAGGTGAGGAAATGATGGGGTAATTTACCTACTCCTTTTGTTGACTTTGATTTTTCTATTAATATGTTGGTAGAATCAATACTATTTATTAAATTTTATTGTTATTATGTCCCGAAACTTTAAGAAGGATTGCAAAGGAACTGAATTTTATTAGGATCCGAAGATTAGAAAGGAACTACAAAGGGTATTCAGACCCCAATGATGGAAGAGGGTCTACAAAGAAATTGAAAATTTATTAGTGTTTAAATAACATTCTTATTTATCAATAGATTTTAATTTTTTTTAAATTTAATTTTAAATTATGATCTTATTTGAAGTTTTAAATTTTTTTATTAAAATTAGAATGGTAATTATTCATTTACTTCTCTTTATTAGTCAAAAATTGAAGACTAAATGAATTTAAGTTAATATTATTGCTTTATTTACAAGATAAATAAAATTAAAAAATTTACTTAAATCTAATTTGAATTGTACCCATATAGCAAAATCTCTTTTTGATTAGGTCATTTATTTAAAATTCAAATTTCACTTTATTAAAATTTCAATTTAAATTTGTAATTAATCTCATCATATTATGATTATTCTTCTAAATTTCAAATTAATAAATCAATAAAACTTATGCTAAATAATAAAACTAATCATTTATGTTTCCTCGGAGAGGTGAGGCTGCTTCTTCTTTTTCTTTTTTTGATAAAGACAATGATTAGAAATTAAAAGTTAGTTAAGTTAGTACTTTACTCTTGACAATGTTCGATCACTTGTCAAGATGCAATTCATCGACAACCATGTTGGGTTGCAGTGGCCACCAATGGACTATAACAGAGGAATGCAAAGAAAAATCTATCAAAAGTTGAAGATACCTACAAGCTACAACCCTCGGATCTCCTCCTCTCCAGACTCCATTCTACCTCCCTCTTCCATCCGGCAATCAATCACCTACCTACAGAAACCACAGCCACACAATCATCCGATCGGCTACTCAATCTCCTTCACTGACCACCCCCGAATCTCCATTGATCTTTCAATTTCAATCCACAAGACATTCACCATTGTTTTATCTACATAGATTGGATATAAAACAAAATTAATAAGTATAAATTTAGAACAAAATCCCTCGTGTAGAGGGACAGGGGCCTCTAGGTTTCTTTAAATTATTGAATGCAATACACTATAAAGACTACTCTTCCCATTCTCCTGACACACTCACGATCTCATCAATGATTTTCCAACAACCACACTTTTTTCTTCTCTGATCAAAGACGGATCATTTAAGTGTTAGGGCCAATATGGTTTGGTTGGCATCCAAACTTAGCCTTGACAAAGGGGAAATGGGACTAAGGTACCCTCGGTCTTGGGTTAGTGACCCTGCAAATTGTGCAATGTCAATGTCATGGTCTTGTTGGCACCATTTATAACACATTCCAATCTCAAATTCTCTCTTCAACATCTTGTGTTAACATTGTAGAAGCATTAGAATTGATATTTATGTCAATCTTCTGAGGGAAATTAACGTAACTAATATAAAGATTAAATGGATAAGCTTCAAATTGTGTAAAAAGGAGTCTCAAAGGATCATATCACATGCTTTGGTAAATTTTATGAGAGTGAGAGGAGGAGATGCCATAACGAAAAGTTTGGAAGCTAGAAGGCTGCTGCATGTGGCCATGAAGGAATATAGCATAACCCTATGCATGTGGGCAACTGAAACGTGCCCCCACCCCCTATCCATTCCCCTTCCCACCATTTGCTCTGCTTAGGCCAAAGCCTTAAAAGCTTTCTCACATCACCTCTTTTTTCGTATGCTCAAATTTGGAGGACTATGATCCTCAAGACTCTTGACTTTTTAATTTTGTAGGTTCTAATTCTATGATGGGAGGTAGTTATGTTACCTCACAATCAGATTTAAAGTTTCATATTCAAATTATTAGATTGTCTTGTAAAGAAACAAGGGATTATAAACCCAAATTGGCATTGAGATAAGAATTCATATTAATTTTGAAGCATGAGATGTACAAACACAAAAGAACATTACATGAATTGTTGAGGAATTGGTCTGCAAAAGCCTATCCGAGTAACTGAATTTGTGGGAAAAATGTCTGGCACTTACAGCCTACAGCGACAGGCTGCTTTAAAGCCATTTTGACAAAACAAGGGACAAAAGTGGATAAAGTAATGGAGTGTGCGGTCCATCCTGGACAACATAATCTGCTACCATCTTTTAAAAATTCATGAGCTTGAAGAAGTAGAAGGCAAACTACCACTAATAATGATTTATACGCCAAAAGTGTAAAGTTGCGATTTCATGCGATCTTCAAGAACCCTACCTGGACTCTTTTGAGCTATTGGTTGTGGAGTAGGGACCATTTCACATAATTATGGACCTCATCTTGATGTATCCCTGCATGCTCGAAGAAATATTTTGCAGCTCTACGCAATCTCCATGCTAATAATATTAATGGCAACAACAAAAATAATAAAAGGGGTTTAGTTTCTTTAACAAGCAAAAATATATACCAGCATATGTATGCAGTAACTGATGCTCTGCTTTTTCTTTATGCAGGGATGGTATCCTGATTTATGTTACCAACAATTTTATGGTAATAGTAGTAGCTTGTAACATGGAATAAAGACCAACTACCCTAACTACCACCTTAACTTCCTCCCATTATAGGCTTAATTTAATTTTTAATCTATTAACTATCACCTTGATTTCATTTTAGTCTAGAAACTATGTTTTATTTCTAAGTGATCTATTAACTTTCAGATTCATTTCAATTTTGTCTACTTAGTCAAAGATAACGGAAAACTTCATATTCTTGTTAAAGAACAATTAGTCCTTTGACTATATTTTTTTTAATCTTTTAGTCCTTAAATTTATATTTATTATAAAAATAACTTTTTTACTTAAAATTATTATTTATAAGCTCTGATATTAGATTTTTATATGAGTTTTCCTATTTCTTTAATTTGGCATTAGATTCTAAAAGTTAATAGACCATATAGAAATAATAATTTTAAGTATTAAAATATGGTATCATAGCTTAAAAATAATAATTTTAAGTATAAAAGTTATTTTTATAACAAATATAAATTTGAGGACTAAAAGATAAAAAAAAAAAGTTAGAGGACTAACTGTTCTCTAACAGAATAGGAAGTTTTCCGTTACTTACGAAATTAAAATGAATCTAAAAGTTAATAGACCACGTAAAAATAATAATTTTAAGTATAAAAATATGGTATCAAAGCTTAAAAATAATAATTTTAAGTATAAAAGTTATTTTTATAATAAATATAAATTTGAGGACTAAAAGATAAAAAAAATATAGTTAGAGGACTAACTGTTCTCCAATCCGTTACCTTTGACTAAGTAGACGAAATTGAAATGAATCTAAAAGTTAATAGACCACTTAGAAATAAAACATAGTTTCTAGACTAAAATGAAATCAAGATGATAGTTAATAGACTAAAAATTGAATTAAGCCCCCATTATATTCAAAAGGGCCAAAGATCCTTCTTCTATGGCCCAAAACAGAGCACAGCGGGTCTGAGTCTTTTGCATCTGCATCCAATTAAGATACCGAAAAGGTGAAAAATTACCAGAAAATTGAAGAAGGAAATTGTTGCAGAAGAAATGATAAATGATGATAATAATATTGGATAACTATATATCTGTTCAAGGATAAAAACCAATGTTCTCTATAGTTTCCCGGATAATATGATCATAATCTTAGATGAATCAATAATCACTGCTATGGACAAAAATTGCATCACCAACGCAAAGCACATCTCCTCTGAATAATTTTAGATGAACAAACAAATGATCACTGCTCCCTTGTACACAGACAAATGGAGCAATTTAGGTTATAGTTAACAGCCAATTAATGGCTGCAATAGTCAAGTAGCTTGAGAGGATGCAGTCAGTTTTTTGTATCATACTCATACTCAAAGTACTTACTTTAAATATGTCCTAGACTATTTAAGTCATGAAAACTCAATGTCAAAGGTGGCCTTATATCTTGTATAAAAAGGTTATTTTACTTCAAACATAAGAAGAAGATTCAAAAAACTTACCCAACAAGTAAAAGGGTTGGGGAAAGACTCCACAGTAGATACTGATATAGCTTGGGTTTATGTTTAGGTAAAGGTCCAGTATATCCTGGAAGAAGTTTTTTTCTTGCTGGTAAATCCATACTGCAGCCAAATTAGAAATACAAATCCAAGAAAACCCAGAAAGAAATCCCCGAATACGAGCAAAGCTGTCAACATGTGGGAGGCATCCAAACAGCTAAATTTAGCATGATGATGAAAATGAGAGTCAACAATGCTGCAAACTGCATGTAGAAATCTGAAACTGTAAGATGTTATAGCCACCAATATAGCGAAATACAGAGGTGAAAATAAATAATGTATCTTCTTTGCATATATTGTCCAGTTAGTGATAAACTCTGAAAGCATGGTTCCTACTTAACCAAAAAGTGCACCAGAGGCACCAACTGATATACTCATATACATATACCAATCTGAATAAATAGAGATGACATCAAACTCCGACCAAAACGAGATATGACATAAAGCAATCCAATTTTAACTGCAGAAGGATAAATCAAAGGGGAATTAGAATTAAAAACATGAAACTTAATTTTTTTCAGTGGTTAACCAGGCTTCAGATACGAACTTCACAGAGTTCCAGTCTTTCTACATTCATCATCCAAGATGAATGAGAAGGATTTAACTAATGTAATGATGTTGTTTATATTTGATAATTGGTTCTAATATGATTTTCAAATATTCTGGGACCAGGCATATCATATCATATATTTTCCAAGAAGATAACATAACAAGAGCATCAAACAACAGGAAGAACCCAAAAATTTCTTTCTAGCTAATCAAACTCGGCCGAGTTTAATAACATTGATGTTGGATTCAAAGTTGAAAACTTTCCACAGAAACTCAAAAATTGCCTCTCTTATTTGTATTAACTTTACATATTTCACCTAATCACCATAATTTCACCCCCAAATAGCATAAATGAATGCATGTCTGCCGTGATGTTAATCTATAGCCAGGAATAAATTCCCACATACACTATTCCATGAAGAGAGAGGTAAATAGTCTCACACCGAAGAAGAAGAAGGGCCGAGAAGCGGATTCTCTTTCATGGGTTGGAAATAGAACCTTCCCAAGAATCTCGCAACGCAAGAACCCCGGGACCAACCACAAGACCGATCTCTCACACACGGCCTGAACTCAGTCAACTCTTGCCCCTGCCGCCGATGCTGTTCCGAATCGCTCGGCCGGCGTCGATTTCCGAAACAAAATCTAGCAATTGCTGTGTTGTCAATTGCCATGTTGGGAAAGATGGATGGAGTTTTTTGGTTTTAGGGATTCTTAGAACTATTGTGTCGTACCAAGCGTCAGTAGTCCAACGGTTAGGATAATTGCCTTCCAAGCAATAGATCCGGGTTCGACTCCCGGCTGACGCAAGAAATTTTTATTTTTCATTTTTTATTCTAAAATTCAGAACCAATCAGGTTTCAGGAATGAATAGCCAGAAATGACCAACAAGATATTTCCGCGCCAAAACAAATGGCGACCTCTAAAGGGTATTATCGTCAAATCCTCCTCCTATATGTTCAGCAAATCAATCATTTCATTTTTTGGGGCCACAAATTCCAGGTCAGCATCTTCTTTTGCCGTGCGTCGCCACGGCAACCGTTTCGGTCGGCGGTCGGTAGTCGTCCGTCGCGTCATTTCTTTCGGTTTCATGGCCGGTACGTGCAGGTTCGTCAGGCATCACGTAATAGGATCCACGCTCGTTGAGCCGTCGTCGTCCAGGCCCAACCGCACCGGAGCTCCTCTGTCGGTGCGTGTAACGACGAAGGGGACCGGAGTACTCACGTCCAAAGAGGAGGGGCCGTCTTGCTTATTTGTCGGCCCGATTGAAACGGCTAGTAAGGAAACTCTTGAAGCTCTCTATCATCAGGTAACTTGCTAAGTTCCGTCCTGGATTCCACCAAATTTCGTGTTTAATAATTGGAATTATTTCTCTGTTTGGTTGATGAGAAAGTTTAAGGAATCAGCTGAGAAAGGAAAATTAGTAATTAACATGAGCAATTGGTTTTTAAATTTGAAGTTTGTTGAAATTTTTAATCCTTATGTTTTTTCCTTATATTAATTTCAAACTTTGAAATTAGGGGAAACTGATGTGTTTGGATTTGGTTCTTGTGATTCATTTCTAGGCTCGGGATTCATATTACAGTGGTAATCCTCTGATAATTGATGACATGTTTGATAGAGTAGAGGTAAATTGATCTTCTGATGTTTAAAGTAAACTTGTTATCTGCTTTTAAGCATATGGTACTAATATAGCAATGTTGTGCTGAGTAATTGAAACAGTTGAAATTACGGTGGTATGGTTCGAAATCAGTTGTAAAGTATCCTCGGTGCAGTCTTAGGCGACAATCAACTTATTCAGATGCTGAGGTAATTCACTTCAGAATCACTTATGTTAGCTAACACAATCCACGAATTGGAACTGTTGCTTCGGCTACCAATAGTTTAGTGCCAAAATTTCAGTGGCACAATTCCTAAAGATGATAATAAAGAAAATTGTTTCTTCTACTGATGTTATCTTGCTTTCAAGCACAGTTTGTGTTTATGATTCCTTTTTGTTTCTCAGGAAAAAAATTGAAAAACATAGAATATACAAAGTAGGTAGCTAGCTTCAATCACTTAAGTTTTATGCTGCATTGGGTTGTTTACTTGAACTGAAAGTCTGAATTGCGTTTCTAGTTTGGGTTGCTGAGAAAAAAAATTTTTTCCTTTTTTCTTTTTTTTTTTTTAAACTATGTTCTCAATCCTTCATGTGTGAATTGGAATTTACATGATAATTGTTCCCTTATTTATGGTATGCTGGGGTTGGTTAGTGGGAAAAGTGGCTTTTCCCTTCACTCTAATATTGAGTTGGCCTGGATGTACGGCAGGAAGATCTATCTCAGGTTTTTGCATTAGCAAGCATATGGATCCTTATTTTTGCACTCGGTAGTTCAGTTTGTCTTGTGCCTGTAATCTACACCATCAGCTTAGCTTACCAAGATCCCTTCAGTTCCTCATTTTCGTATGTCAGCGAACCATCTACTTTGAAGTTTCTTTCCATAGCAAATGGCATATTCTTCATGGCTTTTGGGGCTGTGATTGGTTATCCACTTGCATCAGCTGCTGGTAATGACTTTATCCAATTTTCATCATGCTTTTGGTGTCACTAATGATAGAATATATATATTTTCATGTATTGGGGTAACTGTGTCATTTAGCCTATTGTATGCCCTGTATATATATATATATGCACTTTTACTAATCAGAAGTGATACAGCATTTTACACTATTTTATGTCCACCAATCCTGTTCAGCATCGAAGGACGAAGCACACTGAGATTGACTTGCATTTTTTTCGGGAAAAGGTTGCTTCTCAGCTTGTTTGGTTGCACCATGTTTCTACTTGTCATCAATGGGCTGATATTTTAACCAAAGCACTTCCAGTTCAACAATTTAGCTCATTATGCAACAATTTGAGCGTTCTTTCTAATTCTGCACAAATTGAAAGAGGGGGGGGGGGGGTTGATAGAATATATATTTATGTATCGGGGTAATTGTGTCATTTAGCCTATTGTACGCCCTGTATTTATATACACTTTTACTAACGAGAAGTGATACAGCTCTTTTTGCTGTTTTAAGTGAAATGAAGTGTATTTTCAAGACTTTTGACAGAATTTCTTATACTAGGATGTCAGCAATGAAGTGTATTTGTTCCAAGAATACTAATAAAGCTCATTTTCTTGCAGTTCGGGTGCTTCAAAGACTATGGAAAAATGACTTGGTAGCACTTAAAGGGGCATGCCCAAATTGTCGGGAGGAGGTGAGTTCTATCAATTTATTGTCACTTGTTCACCTTACGACTTCCAGAATGTTTTACATTCTTTTTTCATCATCTTATTTTTAGACCAACATGTTGGATTTTCTCCAACTAAGTACTAACTGAATTGCGACAGCCACTAATCTTTTCTCTTCCCTGATTTGGTTTTTGCCTGTAGGTATTTGCATTTGTCAGATCAGATGAACCCCATGAGTCCCCCCATAGAGCAGATTGTCATGTCTGTGAATCCAGTTTAGAATTCCGCACCAAGGCTGAGGTACTGTAGCATGCCTTTTCTCACATGCAGGGCATGATTCATCCATATTTCAAGATTAGGGAGAAAATGGGTGTACTGCCATGTATTCAGTTACTCTCTATTGGATATAGTTGGGATTTTTCTTTCTTACATTGTTGGAACTGTTTGTGCAGCAATCTGTTTCAAGATTAGGGAGAAGATGGGTCTATGGTCGTGTATACCTTGTATCACGAAGAGGTAGAAGCCGGCGTCAAGCATGGATCTAAGCCATTGGCATGGCATAGTATGATCTTACGGCAACTGTGTATAGAACCTGACTCATTTTATCCATATTTCTTCCTTTCTAGGGGTAAATCATAATAATACTCAATCTTTTTGTTACACACGAATAACAGGTCCGATTCATGTATTGTAGTTCGGCCAAAAAATATGAAAAAGATTCATGTAATGTAGAATCAAATTATTGCCAATAGTATAGGAAGCTCAAGTGCTCCACGGTGCTCTGAGTCTTCAACAATAATTTGTTTTAGTCTGATTTTTACTGTTAATGTTGCTCTTGCAAAATATAAAAGTGTGCAAGTGAGCCACTTGAGCCAATGTTTCTGCTGATTGTCAGTTTCAAACATTTTCCTGACCTCCTTTCTGAAAACAAAAATGGAGTTGACAGTAGATATTAGAGGAGAAACATGGAAATTACATTGAATGCACTAGAATTTCCATGGAACACGCTAGCAAAAACATACAACTTTGTCAGAAAATTCAATTCATGGAAAATGCAGTTGAATGCCGAATATTTGTTCCTGTGAAACCTAGAAACCAAACTCCCCTCCTAGCAAAAAGAAAAGGGATTTAGACTTAGAGAAAAATAGATCTGCTTAACCATGTATGTGAAGGCTAATAGAAATATAGTAAGGAAAACAAAGAACAAAATCAAGTTCCAAACTTATTTATAAAGACCAAGTCCACCAAAAATTTGCTGGAAACAAACCTTATTTGAGGCTAGGAACATGATATTTAGATCATCAGGAGGTGCAGAAACCATTAATTACTGCATCTTGTGGGATGTTGATGAAAACACCTACTAAAAAAAAATCTATTTGGTATGACCAAATTAGAACTAGCATGTTCTTGCTCTGCAAAATCAAAATGTTGACTGTATAAAAAGTAAAACGTAAACAATTATGAGAAATTTCTGATTGTTTTCAGAGAATGAGGAATGGTTTCTCATATAACATGGATGTATCCCTGAACTGGCATTTAGAGACAGAGGTGGCAACCAAATTGTTGATAGAAAGCAGCATATCAGAAGTGGGCTAAGCTGTATACTAGAATCCAGGCCAGCTGAACAAACAGAAAAGAGGAATTTATTAGTTATGAACCACAGAAATCCTTTTTCTAATTTTAATAAAGGACACATTTGAAATAGAGAGCAAATATACCAGAAAGAGCGTTATTGAAGCAAAAAGCCCCTCTTGGAGAAGTGCTCCGTGACCCCCAAATTCTTCCTCATCAATCTTTAGGATCATAGCATAATAACCATAAATAATCCCAGAGGAGATGAGCAGAAAACTGTAAGAAAAATCAACAGAAAAAATTAACAAAAAGGAGAATAAGGGTTTAGAGAAAACTAAAAGAAGCAAGATATGTTGATCATAAGGGTTACCACATCATGGTGCAAAGTAGCAATGCTAGTGCGCTATCAATTCAATTTAATGATAAAAGATCTTTAAAAAGATTAGTTGACAGCATTAATCCCCCATCCTTTAAACTAGAAGTACAATTGTATCCGCACCACTTAGAGCCAGTTTTTAGTTAAAAGGAGTTTAAGGTCTGCAAACACTTTTCCATTTCACAACTTACAAGTTACAGTGGAAAAACACCCTGAACCAAGCAGTAACTTAGCTAACCAGATATTATAAATAGTTTCTTGAAAACTTTCGAATCAACCATAATCACTGCAAATGCATCTTGCATTATCTAGTGAACTCACCAAGTTCCTCCCAAGCTACTAATTTAACTTAACTATATGACTTGAGCTAACTAGAATCACATTGCTGTTAAGACAGTAAGCCCATTATTACATTAAATTCACTAAGAACTAACATACATGAAGTGCCATGTAAATGGTAAGATTTGAATAATTTTTTTAGGAACCATAGGCACTGTTCGTCAGTTGCCTTTGAAGAATGATAAGAAGGAAGCTTCTACACCTCAATTACTTAGGTGATTCATTGATGAATCAAAACCATATAATTACAGTATCATGAAGCATATTTCTTCCTGACCAAAACCAATTAACCAAATGCTTTTAAAAATGAATTTCTGCAACATAAGCATTAAAACTTACATGACGATCCAAATGCCTCCAACCAAAGGTACTGCACCCCATAACAAACCGCATACAAGAGCTACAACTTGTCGAATCCAATGCAATACATCTCCCAATTGATCCTGCTCCCAGAATAAATAATAACCAAAACTCAGTGATTTAAGATTATACCCATTAAATGCTCATTCATACATGATTATCTACAATAACCCCATCATTGGATTAGCGTGAAGAAGAGTATGAATAAAGTAAAAAAAAAAACTGCTCTACATACAATAAAGTATCAACACATGAAGTGTTACTATTCTACTGCAATTACTAACTTTCCATATCTAAAAACAAGCAAAAAATAAAACCCATTACTAAAGACTGGAACATAGTCAAATATAAGGAATCAAGGAACAGAATCAGTGATGACTAATGAGGAAGTACAAAAATGGACGAACCTTGTCCCAGGAAGCCTCTGGATCTAACAACTTGGCGAATTTGAAAGGAGAGAAGTGGCCGTTCTGGTGTTGCTGCAGATGCACATTGGATTTAACGGATTTCCCTTCTTTCATAGTCAAATTGATCGAATTCAATTGCTGGAAAAGTGAAAAAAACAAATGTGGAGACTTATGGTTAATGTAGAGAAGTTAGATTAATTTGGGGGAGAATAAGGGTTTGGAGGAATTGCAGATGAAAAGGAGATGGCTTGAAGTTGAAGGAGGAATATTTAAAAATTAAAAATTCTTCCATGTAGATCTAAAATTAAGATTAATTTATCTTTTCGAAAATGTGTTTTACATACCGTATATTTAAATATGAATTTATTAAAATATTTTTTATAAAATTATTTTTATATTATTTTATTAACAATATTTTGATTATTCCATAAATCAAATTTTCTTTTTTTTTAATATGTAATAGTGTCTGTAAAATATGAATAGTTTATCTTTCAAGAATTTTATTTTATAATTTAAATTGTATTAAATTATAAAATAAAAATTATTAAATTAAAAAAATTAATATTAAATATATAATTTTTATTATATAATAATTAATATTATACAATTTAAATCATATTCAACTATTTTTTTTATTTTTTTATAATAACCTTTCAATATTTAAAAGTTATATAAATTTAAACTAATTTAAAATCTTTATCGTCTGTTTTCCAATTTATAAACTCAAATTTAAAATTTTATTTTAAAAATCACATTCCTTTTACTCGAATGAGTAACTCGTTGATACTGATTTTTCATTATATTTTCTCGATTTTATTTCCGCTTTTCTTTTCAACCAACTAAAAAAAAGGGCGGCAGGGGAGGGGGTTGAACCCGATCTAAAGTCCAGGCCGTATAAGCTTAACATGGGCCAATCCAGTTCTATTAAGTTATAACCTATGCACCTGGGTTGGGCCGGAGGATTTAAAAGGCGGAATATAGAAAGATGCTGAAGAAAAAAACAACGAATTCCAACTTTTGTCCCTGTTGTTGTGTTGAAATGACAGATCACTCCTCTTCAGTCTTCTTCAGTCTTCTTCACTCTCCGATTCCGACGAATTCCATTCCGAACTCCGAATCGACGTTTTCATCAAGCAGGCTTTTCCAGTTGAAGCTGAGTTAGGATAGAAGGAAGAAAGATGGGCAGTCCTAAGAAGGAAGAGGGTAAGGGATTTTTTGCGGCGATGTCCTCTGGCTTGTCCATGTTTGGCAACGCCATGCACAGATCCGTCAACGGGTAATTTACAATTCAATCTCGGCACCTCTTCTTTTTTTGCCCAATTTCCTTTTTTTTTTCTTCTCGTTTTGGTGTATTTCTGGTTTGGAATGAAATTTTTTTTTTTTAAAAAAAAGAAAAAATTCAATCTTGGAATGAGATTTAATGGCTTAATTTAGCATATGCGGACCCTAACCTTTATTATTGTGATTTATATTCAATTCATTAATTGTATTTTCATGTTCATGTAATCTTTAATACAGCTTTAGTGGATTTTCCATTTCTTTGTAATTTTGGTTGTAATACAGCTGAATTAGGCAGTCAGGCTAAGAACAGAGCTTTAGAAACTGAACATAAGCTGTTTTTTTCTTTCTTTCTTTCTTTCTTTTTTTTCTTCAAGTGTTTGATGCTAAACTAAAATAGTGTAAGAAAGTGCCTGATTGAGACCCATTTGTACAAAAATTCTGAGAATGATGCCTGTCAAAGTCAGAGTAAGGTTCTTGATTTGTTACAAAGACTGCCTTGTACTTACCTCCTTATTATGGTTTTTAGGTTCCTTGGCTACGAAGGGGTAGAAGTCATAAATCCAGAGGGAGGAAAAGAAGATGCAGAGGAGGAAGCTCAAAGGGGAAGATGGAAGCCAGAGGTGCGTATTCTGTTTTTCTTTTATATAAACTAGCTTTCTATTACATGGGTCTGTTACATCAATGCCTTGTTATTTTCTTTTTTTCTTGTCTGTCTGAATGGTTTTAAATGATTGTTGAACTAGTCCTAAGAAAGACAAAGAAAGTTGCGTTTAAACTGTAATATGTGAAAATGGAACAGTTATAGTTGTGTTTCCTCTTTCTATTCTTTGTGCCATGGAGATGTGTTGCTGAGTTATTTTGTAATTTACCCATTTTACATGTTTTCATTTTGGTTTTCTTTATTTATGTTTAAAAGGAACGTGAAAGTTACTGGAAGATGATGCAGAAATATATAGGGTCAGATGTTACATCAATGGTGACTCTTCCTGTTCTTATATTTGAGCCAATGACTATGCTGCAGAAAATGGCAGAGGTTTGGGTTAAATTTCAGCCTATTAGTTATGTTATTTTTTATGTTATGTCTTTGATTTGTTTGTAAACTGTGTCTGATGCCTGCCACAGTTGATGGAATACTCGTACTTGTTGGATCAAGCAGATGAGTGTGAGGATCCCTACCTGCGCTTGGTGTATGCTTGTGAGTGTGGTTCAACGTTTATTTCTGCATGCTTCGGAGTCTTAGTAAGTTTTGCTTTATTAGTAATGGAATGTATTACCCTGCACAGCATCATGGGCTGTATCTGTTTATTATGCCTACCAACGGACATGGAAACCTTTTAATCCTATTCTTGGGGAGACATACGAAATGGTTAACCATGGTGGGATTACATTTATTTCCGAGCAGGTGTGTTTCAAGTTACTTGATTTCTTTACAGGCTGTTGTCTTGCATTCTTATCTAGTTGTTTTCTCTTGCATGCTACTGCAAACCTTCTCTTATGCTCTCTCCTATATCCTGTTGGAATACTACAACCATTTGTCTTTACGTTGTATCTTGGAGCTAGTTTAGAAAATGTATGCCTTTCTCATGGATTTGTTGTTTTCCTGTTGTTGGTTTTTTCTGTGACTCTTGCACCTTATATTGTTTTTCCAGGTCAGTCATCATCCCCCAATGAGTGCTGGGCATGCTGAAAATGAGCATTTTACTTATGATGTCACATCAAAGTTAAAGACTAAGTTTTTGGGGAACTCTCTTGATGTTTATCCTGTTGGAAGGTAACAATTATATTGCTTTTTCTAGGGAGCATCTTTAGTTCCTAGTTCAATTTTGTTGCAGTCTTCTTCCTTAAATGTCATTCCTATGGAGTTTTTTGGTATTTTTTGACAGTTAGTAAGATTTCTAGCTTGTAGATAATGTGATTATGTAGTTTCTATTGCTTTCAGAACACGTGTGACACTTAAAAGAGATGGTGTGGTTTTGGATTTGGTGCCACCTCCCACCAAAGTGAACAATCTTATTTTTGGACGAACTTGGGTTGATTCACCTGGGGAGATGATCATGACTAATTTAACAACGGGGGATAAAGTCGTGCTATATTTTCAACCATGTGGCTGGTTTGGGTATAATCATTTCTCCTCAATTATGGGGTATTTTTCCGGTATGCATCCTGCCAGTGGTGAATGATTGATGCTCATTTTTTGTTTTTTTCAGAACCGGTCGTTATGAGGTGGATGGGTATGTTTATAACTCAGCTGAGGAACCGAAATTATTGATGACAGGGAAGTGGAATGAGTCAATGAGCTATCAGCCCTGTGATATGGAAGGGGAACCTCTTCCCGGAACAGAACTAAAAGAGGTGATCTGTTTTGTTTAATTGTTTTTTGATCATCTTAAAACTTGTATCTATGTTAGTCCTCATGAATTAATTCCTATTAATGGCTTTATTATGTGTATTATTTTGTTTGTGCAGGTTTGGCATGTTGCTGATGCTCCACAAAATGATAAATTTCAGTACACTTATTTTGCACACAAAATAAACAGTTTTGATACAGCTCCCAAGAAATTGTTAGCATCAGATTCCCGACTGCGTCCTGATAGATGGGCACTTGAGAAGGGTGATCTATCTAAAGCTGGTGCCAACAAGAGCAGGTCCCTCCCTCCTCCCCCCACCCATTCCCCATTATCGTTCTTGATTTGAGAATATTACTCATCCTTTTTTGTTTTTTGCCCATTCATTCATCCAGTTTGGAGGAGAGGCAAAGAGCTGAGAAGAAGAACCGAGATGCCAAGGGCCATCTGTTTACACCGAGATGGTTTGATTTAACTGACGAAGTTACAAAAACTCCATGGGATGACTTGGAAATCTACCAGTACAATGGTAAATACACTGCACACCGTGCTGTCGTAGATAACTCAGACAGTGTGGATGATGTTGATCATACATCAATAGAATTCAACCCATGGCAGTATGGCAATCTGTGATCAGGGTGAGGTAATTCATTCTGTTTCTAGATTGCAGTTAGTTCATAAAACATATTGGTGTGATATGTGGAAGCAGTATGGTTTTTGTTGGAAATGTTTGCTCTGTATCCTAATTTAGAATCCTATTCTAATCAGTTATAGAAAGTTCTTTTGCTGTCTCATAACTCCTCATTTTCTAACATATGTGGAAGCAGCAGCCCATAATATATATATAT